CTGAAATATGGTGAGTTAGAATAGTCAGTTCTACTTCAAGATACGATAAAGATGATGATGATGATTTGTGATGATGATGATGATAATTATTATGGTGAGAAAGATAACGGCAATCATGATGATGATTGCGTTTGTGATGATGGTTATGATGACGACGACGATGATGATGATGATAGCAATTAATTATTCTAGATAAGCCAGCGATAGTTAAAATAACAATGATAATGATGGTGATGACGACGACGATGATGATGATGAAAAAGAAGATGATGATGATGACGTCATACCAAGTGAATAGTCGGAGGCTGTATGTTTATGTCCATATATCTTTTCTTGGCCCTCCTGCGAGTTAATGAATGAATGAATGAGTGAATGAATGAATGAATGAATGAATGAGTGAATGAATGAATGAATAAATGAATGAATGAATGAATGAATGAATGAATGAATGAATGAATGAATGAATGAATGAATGAACGGATGAATGATTGATAATAATACCTGATACAGAGGGGTGTACAAATTAGGAGCACCATGATCAATACGCAACCGATCGTGATGCCCGCCACCACAACATTCCTCAATGGAGTCGGTCCTGATAGTGATGATGATGGTGGTGGTGATGATGATGGTTGTGGTGATGATGGTGATATTGATGATGACGATGGTGGTGGTGATGATGACGATGATGGTGGCGGTAGTGGTGATGATGATGAATGCGACACTGACTATGATGATGATGTAAATAAATATAATGTATGTACATGCACATACATACATGCATACATACATACATACATACATACATACATACATACATACATACATACGTACATACATACATATATACGTTTATATTGATTTTGACTTGAGAAATCTATTGCAATGAAATCGTTTAAAATTTTATTAGTCATATTATTTTTATAACTGATAAGAGTTATTAGTTTATATAGTATATATATATATATATATATGCCTATTCATTCCTTCATTCATTCATCGATACCTTCTTTTTTTCACTCTCTCACTCAACTCATTCATCCATTCATCAATGTATTAGTATTCAAAGCTCTTGTGTCTTGTGTGCATAGTTTACTATTGCGCGTGAAATACAAAGTCAAGTATGTATGTATATATGTATGTGTGAATGTATGTATGTATGTATTGAATGTATGTATGTATTGAATGTATGTATGTATATATGTATGTATGTGTGAATGTATGTTTGTATGTATGTTTGTATGTGTATGTATGTATGTATGTATGCGTTTTTTTATGGAAAGAAGCAATAACAGTAGTTGTTTATTAAAGCAATATCCTGTTTATTTGGAAAAACAAGAGCCTTTCAAAGAAATAAAAAATAACAAAATTAATAATAATAACATTATTATTACAATTTTATTATACATATATATATATATATATATATATATATATATATATATATATTATATATAATGTATGTAAGTTCTACCAAATTGTTAATCAATGTGTTAACTAATTGTGTGGCATTAACCATGTATTTAGAATAAAATGATCAATTCAAATTATGGTATAATATCACTAGTTATTTAAATTAACTTTTAAATTTGCGTTTTAACTTTTATTCACTTTTAGTGTCGGTTGTTTACAAATAAATAAGTACATGGTTTTTTTTTGTTTTAAAATTCAAAAATTTAGTGACGGAAGGTCAAATTAGGAAGTTTAGGGAATAATTTTATTATTTTTATTTGTTTATTAATTATATTTGATTATGATTATATAAAAAAAGTTTATTTAATTTACTTTATTTTTTCTTTAAATTAAAAAAACAGTTCATTCTTAAAAAAATTAAATTTTTAATTTAAGAAAACTTAATTAATATATTTAATTAACTATTAATTAAATTTATTAATAACAATAATTCAAGATAATATTAAACATTAGATTTTAAAATATGATGCCGAAAAAATCTGACATTTTGATTATTTTATTTATTATTATTTTCATTATTCCCCAAACATTTATTCTTGTCACTTGTAATAAAGTCCATAATAATAATAATAATAATAATAATAATAATATTCACAACAACCACAATAATACTAATCAAAGAAGTATTACAAGAAATAATAATAAAGGCAATGATGATGATGATGCAACTATAACTATTATCATGAATAATCTCAATAATAAAACAAATGCAAATAATAGTAATGCAAATAATTCTAACAACAACAAAAATAATAATAATACTAGGTATGATAATGACGACGACGACGATGATGATGGCTTGATTATATTTAGAAAACATTTATACCTACATAACCATCATTATCTAGAAAATAATAATAATAACAACAACAACAATAATAATAATAATAATGACGATGATGGTAATAATACTAATATAACAAATTATATAACTAATGATACTGCTAATTATATTAATTATATCAATTCTACTATAGATAATAATACTAAACATAATAATAATATTAATAATAATAATATATTTAATGGCTGCAAAGATAATTCCACTTCCAATAAGAATTTCATAATTGATTATAAATCATCAATTATTCACAATGGTGAGTTACTGTTATTATTGTTATTATTATTGTTATTATTGTTGTTGTTGTTAAAGTATAGTAGTATCTATTATTGAATTTTAGTTTATGCCTTTGTAATTATACTAAACGATCGTCATCATCATCATCATAACAATGGCATCATCATCATGACCTGGCCCCCACAACACAAAATATATAGTATCTTTTATTGTATACTAGTATCTGTCATTATCATTACTCCAAACGATTGTTATCATCATCATCACCACCGTCATCATCATCATCACCGCCATCATCATCACCATCATCACGATGATGACAACGACATCATAATCATAACCTGGTCCCCACAACACAGAATATATAGTATCTTTTAAGTCGTACTACACGGAAACTGCAAGGCATAACTTCCTGAAGGCCTCACTCCGAGATCTCCGATCGAACGTTTGGCAAATTCTAGAGAGAGAGAATATTTACTACAGAAAGTATCCAAGTGATTTTGAACTTATCAGGGTAGTTTTCTTTTAGTGTTTTTGGTTTTTAATGTTTATCATTTTAGTGGCGGTTGTTGTGTAAGAATGAACGAACGAACGAACGAACGAACGAACGAACGATCGATCGAACGAATGGATTGCTGTTAGCTCGTCATGTGGTATTCATTGAGATAAGATAGAAACAGCGTGTAGGCCTAATCAGCTAATCATATGTAACTCTTATACCAATGCCATTGAGCCTTATATGACCGTACAATTTAAATACATTTCATTATAATCCGTTCCATCATTTCTTTCATTCTATCATTTGCTTTCCTACTATGACAAGTGAGTGAGTGAAAATATGTCCTTGCATTGTTTTCTTTCCACCAAAGATATCAGAGAACTACGAGACAGAAGCCATAGATATGTTAAAGAGTCACCCGAATGTCAGACACATCTCACATCATCGAAAAATTTCTAGAAATTTGAAATTCGTCAGTCCGTCGTCGTCGTCCACTTCCTCATCATCCTCCTCCTCCTCATCCTCCTCCTCATCCTCCTCCTCCTTCTCATCCTCCTCCTCCTCCTCCTCATCCTCCTCCTCATCCTCCTCCTCATCCTCCTCCTCATCATCGTCGTCGTCGTCAAGTGACGATAGCGAATTTTTTCATCTTAATTTGAAAGCTGGTGTTGGTTTTATTAGTGGTAACGACGACGACGATGATGATGACAACAACAACAACAACTACAACATCAACAACGAAAACAATAATAATAATCACAATAATAATAATCACAACAAACCTACGACCAAGTTTAAAAACTCGAAGCATAAAGAGAAGAACAACGACAACAAAAGCAGCAACGGGAAGAAAAACAAACAGACATCACAATCATCACCATTAATGACATCACCAATGACGTCATCGTCGTCAACAAGACGTAGTTTGAGTCTCGGCTCCATGTTCTGGCACTCGGCTGAGCGGCACAAAAACCGGAAGTTGATGAAATCTGCTTCATCCAATCAGATCACAGCAGCACTGAATGCCGATGTGTTGTGGGGAATGGGTTTTACAGGGAAAGGAGTTAAGGTGTTGATGATGATTTTGTTGTTGTTGGGCTAGAGTTGTTGTTATTGTTGTTGCAATTGTGGTTGTCATTGTTGTTGTTGTTGTTTGGCTTTCAAAATAGATCGAATTATTAAAAAAAACTTTTGAACATCCTCTTGCTTAGATCGCCATCTTCGACACGGGCCTTTCAGAAAGTCACCCACACTTCAAACCAGGGCGCATAATAGAGAGAACTGATTGGACGAATGAAGAGACCCTGGAGGATAATTTGGGGCACGGAACTTTTGTGGCCGGGGTTATCGCCAGTTCAGCTGAGTGCCTGGGGTTTGCACCCGATGCCGACGTACATGTATTCAAAGTTTTCACTAATAAGCAGGTTATGCGCGTTTGTGTCTGCGTGTGTTTGTTTATTTATTTGTTTGTTCGTTCGTTCGTTCGTTCGTTCGTACATTCACACACGTTCACAACGCAGGTCTCGTACACATCGTGGTTCCTGGACGCATTCAACTATGCCATCGTGAAGAAGATGAACGTCCTCAACTTGAGCATTGGCGGTCCTGATTTCATGGACCACCCGTTCGTCAACAAGGTGTGGGAGCTGACGGCCAACAACGTCATCATGATCTCCGCCATAGGCAACGACGGGCCACTCTACGGCACCCTGAACAACCCAGCCGACCAGATGGACGTCATAGGTGTCGGCGGCATAGACGCGAGTGAAAGTGTCGCCAAGTTTTCGTCGAGAGGCATGACGACCTGGGAGCTGCCCTCGGGGTACGGTCGGGTGAAGCCTGACATCGTTACGCACGGATACAACGTCAAGGGTTCAGCGCGTAATAGTGGATGTCGGACTCTTTCGGGGACCAGTGTGGCCTCCCCTGTGGTCGCTGGGGCCGTAACTTTGTTGCTGAGTACCGTCCAAGAGGAGAGGTGGAAGGATGTGGTGAGCCCTGCCAGTGTTAAACAGGTCCTTTTGAATTCTGCTGTTAGGTTGTCTGGCGTTAACATCTTTGAACAGGTGCTGCCCGTTCGATTTTTGTTCTATTTTTTCAAAATTATTTCAGGGATTTATCTATTTTATTTAATTTAATCTCAAGCCCACGACCAGCAAATATGCACATTCACAATGTCGTACCTTACTCTGACGTCATCTGCAAACATACCGCCATCTTTTAAATCGTCCCCATCACAATCGTGTCATCGTCGTAACCGTCAGGGCGCGGGGAAGTTAGATCTTCTGGGGGCCTTCAAACAACTGCAAACGTACGAACCAGTGGCCAGTTTTTACCCCAGTTCAATCGACCTCACCGACTGCCCGTACATGTGGCCCTACTGTTCTCAGCCCCTGTACTTTGGCGGCGTTCCTACCATCTTCAATGTTACAATCATCAACGGTAGTTTAGTGTTTGTTGTGATTTGTCTGGTTGTATTGGCTGGTTGATTGATTGTTTGTCTGTCTGTCTGTTTGTCTGTTTGTCTTTCTGTCTCTCTTCGGTCGGTCGATTATTTGTTTGCTTGTTCATTTACATTTGAAGATTTTGATTGCAGTTTCATCTTTAGAAAGAATGTTCAGAATGTTTTTTTTCTCATTCTGAAATGCACTGCCACTCAGTCGGATATTTTAAATTGTAAATAAATCGCCATCCGTCCCATTTAAATAACCAACGACCACCAAGGATTGGGAGTGTCGGGAACGGTGCTCAAGGAGAGGATATTTTGGCAGCCATTCGTCTCAGAGAATGGGCACAGGATCGACGTTTCCGTCCAAGTTTCGCCTGCCATCTGGCCATGGTTTGGAAATTTTGATGAAATTATTTCTTCACTTTATACTCCTACTACAACAGCAACAACTACTGCTTACTACTACTACCATTAGCAGTATATCATTAATATTGTCGCTTCGGCTGCTACTTCCACTACTACTACTGCTGCTGCTGCTGCTGTTGTTATTGCTACTATTAATAGAGTATCGGCAGCAGTATAGTTACTATTACTAGTAAGAATAAAATATTATAATTATAGTAATTTATGATAAATATGATAAATTATTCATGATAGGTTTGGTTACATGGCCCTTTACGTGAGCGTGTCAAGGGAGGGTGAGGGCTGGGAAGGCGTGGCCAACGGTCAGATAACTTTGACCGTGGAATCGCCATCCAATGCAGGCGAGGAACCGAAGACTTCTACCATTGTACTGCCTATCAGGTTGTCTGTTACCGCGTGCTTTGTTGTGTTTGTCTGAGTTACTGCTTGGTTTGTTCTTTATAATCGTTCGTTCTTTATTCATTCACTATTTTTCATTCATTCATTCATTCATTCGTTCGTTCGTTCGTTCATTCATTCATTCATTCATTCATTATTCTTGCATGTAAGTTCTATGTAAGTTTTGAATGTATTTGTCCTAACGTTCATTTCAACCACCAATCATCACCACGGTCGTCAGGGTCAAAATAGTACCGACTCCGCCGAGAAACCGACGGATACTGTGGGATCAGTACCACAATCTACGCTACCCACCCGGTTACTTCCCTCGCGATAACTTGCGCATGAATACCGATCCGTTGGATTGGAACGGCGATCACATCCACACCAATTTCCGAGAGATGTACCATCACTTACGGTTAAACGGATATTTCGTTGAGGTACTCGGTACTCCTTACAGCTGCTTCGATCCCTATCAGTACGGTACTTTATTGATCGTCGATCCGGAAGAGGAGTATTTCAATCGGGACATCGCTAAACTGAAGCGAGATGTCGAAGAATCCGGTCTGTCGATCATCGTATTTGCCGATTGGTACAACGTCACCGTCATGAAAAAGGTTAAATTTTACGACGAAAATACTCGACAGTGGTGGACACCGGATACCGGCGGTTCAAATATACCGGCTCTGAACGAGTTACTCGCGAATTGGGACATACAACTCGGAGATCGAGTTTACGAGGGTGATTTTGAGATAGGGCGGCACAAAATGTACTATGCCTCAGGTACCAGCATCGTTCGTTTTCCTAGCAATGGTCACTTAGTGGTTCAGAGACTCAAGGATCAAGGCAAGGAATTGAATACCGGAGTGACCGTGGAAGTCCCTGATGTTCCCATTTTAGGGATGTACCAGGTTGAAAGGAGTACGGATAGGGAGTTGGAAATTAAGGATGATCATCGTCCGGATGTTGCTGTTGCCAATGCTGGTAGTGACGATGTTGTTGTTCATGTAGCTGACGATAATGTTGTTGCTGTTGGTGGTGGTGGTGGCGGTGAGGTTGTGGTCGACGCTGACGTGAATGCAAGCGATGGTGTCGCCCAGATGAAAAGTAAAAGTATGGCAGGGGATGGAACCAACAACAACAACAACAACAACGTTGATGATAATACCAATAATGACAACAACAACAACAACGTAGATGTTAACATTAATGATATCAACGCTGACGCCATGGTGAAAGACAACTCAAAAGGCAACAACAATTATTACGGCGAGAAGGACAAGCCCGACTTTGATGCCAGCGATCTAGCAGCTGTAGCAGCAGCAGAACAAGCAGACGCAGCTGATCAAGCAGCAGCAAAGGTCAAGGACGAACCGCGTGACCTTCACAGACAGGCAAACTTGAAGCTGCTACAAGCCAGATTGTTCGAGAGAGATAACGATGAGAAGGAAGAGGAAGTGGGAGAGGAGGACGGAGATGGAGAGGTGGATGAGATGAACGGAGAGGACGTTTTGAACGTTCCCAAAGATAACAACAGCAAAAACAACAAAAACAACAACAAAAACAACAACAAAAATAATAATAATAATAATAATAATGTCCACCATAGTAAGAACAGTAAAATGAAAAGGGACGCGCCAGTAAAGCATCCACTCAAAGTTTCTAAACCCGGTCGAATTGTTGTCTATGGTGATTCTAATTGCCTGGATAGCAGTCACATGCAAAAAGGTTTCATCCATTCATTCATTCATTCATTCATTCATTCATTCATTCATTCATTCATTCATTCATTCATTCATTCATTCATTCATTCATTCATTCATTCATTCATTCATTCGATCATTCATTCATTCATTCATTCGTTCGTTCGTTCATTTATTCATTCGTTCGTTCGTTAGTTCTTTCAGACGTTCACTCTTTTTTGTTTTATTCACCCATTTGCTGAATTACTTTAGAGAGATACTATAAAATATTACCTACTAGACTGCTATTGGCTGCTGGACGCTTTACTAGAATACTCAATGCTTGGAACGCTGGTTCCGGTTCTAAAAAATTCAAAGTCACTTTCGAAGTTGGATGACGTGGCTGGCTGGGAATTGCCCCAAAGATTGGAAGGTGCTAAATTTTTTGTCTGTTTGTTTGTTTGTGTTTGTTTGTCTGTTTGTTTGTTAGTTTGTGTGTGTGTTTGTGTGTGGAGTGTTTGTGTGTGTAATCTTTGTTTGTATTAATAATACTTGTTTGCATATTCGTTTGCTATAAAATTGGGATTGCTTTGTACTGAACGCACAAAACTTTTATAATTTTTTCTCTCTTTTACTCTTTTTTTTATTTTTCACGTTTCCTTGTTGTTCTTTATATATATATATCTCTTTCTATCTTTCTTTCTCTCTGTTTTTTCTCTCTCTCTCTCTCTCTATCTCTATCTCTCTCTCTCCCTCTCTCTCTCTCTCTATCCAATTATCCAATTATCTATCTATCTAATTATCGATCTTTTTCGTTCAACTTTTTCTTCATTTTTATTTTTTTCTCTCTCTCCTCCTCTCTCTCTACCTTTCTTTCTATCTCTCTTTCATTTTCTATTTCTCCATTTTTCTTTCTCTTGTTCTCTCGCACACACACACGCACACACATACACACACAAAACCCACATACACATGCACACACACACACACACACACACACACAGGCAGCCATATGTACAAATATTCCAAAATCCTGAACGGTCGACACGGAAATGGGAAAGCCTATTCTGCCGCCAAGGCGCGGGAAATCCCCGCCTGCCCACGTCATTCCTGGATGGCCAAATATCCGGTCAATCTATCGTCCGCATCGTTTGTGACGTCAGCGTCTGCGTCATCATCAGCATCATTGTAGGTGTGTCGATGTGTTTATAGTATGTGTGTGTGTGTGTATGTGCGTCTGTATGTGTGTGTGTGTGTGTGTGTGTGTGTGTGTGATTGAGTGTATGTGATGTGTGAGTGCGTGTGTGTGTGTGGTGTGTGTGTAGGTGTATTTTTTTTATTATTGATTAATCATTTTAGATGTTTCTAAATATCTAATATAATTCATTTCTTCAATTTGCAGTGAAATTTTACTTTTATACAAAAACCGATTGGCAAGCATGAATGGCAAGCAGAACAGCAGCAGCAGCAACAACAACATCAACAACAACAATAATGATGATAATAATAATAATAATAATAACCTAATACATATAGACCAAAGAATGGACTATAACTACAATGATGTTAGTGACGATAATACCGATAGTATTAATTCCAAACGATCCATGATCTTTGATAACGTCTCAGACAATGTGACGTCACACAGTTTTTGGTCTTCCGGTATTTCCTTTTTGGGCATAATGCTTGTGGTCGCCATCTTTTATTCCAAATTCGGCCATCTTTGTTTTAGGAAAAAGAAAAAAATAATTCGCTACCATGGACAGCATCAACAGCAAAGAAAATTTAATTTTGGGGCTAATTTTGTTTCTTTGATGACGTCATAGTGACTAAAATAATTTCCGGTTTTATGTTTATTTTTGTTTATTTGTTTGTACTTTTTATTAGTCTGTATTATGTCGTAAAAATAAATGAAAGGTTCAACACACACACACACACTCACACACACACATACATACATTTTTATTTATTCATTTATTTATTTATGATTATTATTTAATGTGCCTTTAAATGTATTAAAGTTATTATTATTATTATTTGCTTTTAATCATGTATGTAACAAAAGTTTTATTATTATTGTTGTTGTTAGTAGTAGTTTTTTCAATTATCATTATGGTGATTGTCTTATTTGTTATTATTTTTTTCATTCGATCATTCATTCATTTATTTGTTAATTCATTCAATCAATCATTCAATCCATCATCAATCAATCATTCAATCAATTAATGTTTCTAAACGTTTGAAATAGTTTATCATCAGTTTTTTAAAACACTCGCTAATTCATTCACTTATTAATTCACGCATTCATTCGCTCACTCAATCACTCTCATTCACTCTCATTCATTCATTCATTCATTCATTCATTCATTCATTCATTCATTTATTCATTCATTTTTTCATTTATTCATTCATTTATTCATTTATTCATTCATTCATTCATTCGCGTTCTAATACTAAGAAAGAATTATTTATGTATTCTTTATTTCAAATTAATAAAACATAAAATAATAGTGGGTAAGATGAAAGTTTTGTTCTCCGTTTCAAACATGAAAATTTAAAACTAGAAATTTACATAAAATTGATTAATCATTTACTTTCTCTCTCTCTCTCTCTCTTTCTTTTTTTTTCTCTCTCTCTCTCCATTTTTTCTGATTTCGTCTTTCAGTATTTCCCCAGCGTTTGATCAAAGGAATAATCTAGAAAGAATAGATGAATATGAAATTATTTTAAATTTTCTTTCGTTCGTTCGTTCGTTCATTTATTCATTCATTCATTCATTCATTCATTCATTCATTCATTTATTCACTCACCTGTATACAATCCAGGTGGCGGTGTCTTCCTAACGGCTGAATCGAGCAGATTTGGTTTAGACCTGTACCTACATATATATTATAATATTATATTATAATAAATTATAATTGTAAATTATATTCCATATGATTATCTATTCTTCAGTATCCCTTGACGAAAGCAAACTTATAAATTAAATTCCAAGAAGATGGCTTCAAAAACTAGTAAGTTGTATTTTCACATTATTGAAAGAAAGGATGGAGACTTTGAATTAGCGGGTATGGTATAGCCTACCTGAAGAATATAAAGATAATATAAATAATTATGACGTCATAATATGTAAGAGTGACGTCACGCAGATATACCTCCATATGTTTTTCCTCTTCTCTTCTGCCAAGAGGCTGACGTGGCTTTCAATTATATTTCGGGCCTATAATTAATATTAATATTTATAATAATTATTGTTATATTAATATTACATAAACTTATGTCCACACATACATACATACAAACTGACCTTCAACCTTTGGCATTCAATGTCCGGCATGACCTTTCTTTCGGTGTCCTTGAAGTTAGTTCTCAAGGTCATTACGGTCGTTGACCTGGCGAGCGGTGGAATTTTGAGCTGGTAGCGTCTGTCTGTGAAATTTGGGTCACTTAAATTGTCTGGCTGGCCTGGTACACTGTTTTGTTGTTGTGGCGGTGGGAGTGACGTTGTTGGCATTTTTGTCGCTATCATTGTCACTGTTGTCGTCATCATCATCACTATCACCATCACTACCATTATCATCATCACTACCACACTATCATCATAATCATAACCTGCGACCATTTAGTTGTTCGTAAAGTTTTATTAGGGTCATCCTAGCGGCCCCGAACTTGCAGTGGGCAGTTGCGTCCAGCATTAACGTGGGGACGGAAATGCCCACCTTATTTAGAATCTTTTGAGAAAGAGAGAGAGAAAGAGAGGTAGCAATGATGATGATGATGATGATGATGATTGTGGTGATGAGAAAGATGATGATGATGTGGTGTGAGAGGAGGATAATAATGTGCAATTGATTGTTCCTGTTATAGTCGTTTATTTTATTAATTTAATCTATCCGTCTATCATTCATTCGTTCGTTCATTCATTCATTCATTCATTCATTCATTCATTCATTCATTCATTCACTCACTCATTCATTCATTTCTTCACCTGCTTTATAAGGGTCCAGTTAAATAACCTGTACTCCAGCTTTGAACCGTCGTGAAATCTATACAAAGGCACTACATTGGGAAAGTATCGGTATAACATCTGCCCTATTATGAAGCCACTGCTTAAATCCCTAGATCATCATCATCATCATTATTATTATTATTATTATTATTATTATCATTATAAATACTGTTATAGTAGTAATAGTAGTAGAAGTAGAAGTAGCAGCAACAGTAGCTGCAGTAAAAATAAAACTATAATAATAATAATTATTATTATTATTATAATAACTATTACTTACCATTGTGGGTTTGTGATGTTACGGGTTAAGTCCAGAGAATGCACCCACTTCAGCACATCTCGTGGCATCAACTCGCTCATAATAATTACTTTTATTACTTATAATTATTAATAATTATTAAATAACAATAACTAATTATTATTGTATTTGTCGTTATTGTGGTTTGTTATTATTGTTACTATTTGTAATTCTGTCTGGCGATGAAAACTAACAAACTCGTTAAGAATATTATGAATGTTATTATTAATTTTATTATGAATATTATTAATTTTATTATGAATATTATTATTAATTTTATTATGAATAATATTATTATTAATTTTATTATGAATATTTTTATTATTATTACAACATTAATACAAATTCCAACACTATTACTATTACAACTGAAGGCACATTTTACTGCTAAGCAAATGTATTAAAGTTAAATAACATAAAATACTATATATATATATATTATATATAATATAAATATAAATATTTATAATATATACAATGTATATAAATATATGATGCTATAATATATATATAATTATATATAAATAATTATGTATATGTAATTATAATGAATGTATTAAGTTCCGAAATAAAAAATAAACACAATTAATATGTATTTATAATAAACAAGATATAGCGTTGCTAAGCAACATATATTTATATGCGTATATAGAAACTATATATACGTATATATATATATATATACATATATATATATATATATATATTTATATATTTATATTATTTATATAGTATTATATATGTATGTGTGTTCATAAATAAGTATATGGTCATTATTTAAAGACACTGAATATGTTATTATTGTTGTTACTATTATTATTATTATTTCTATAATTGTTTTTTTATTATTTCAATAATTATTATTATTAGTAGTAGTAGTAGTGGTGGTGGTCGTAGTAGTAGTAGTAGTAGTAGTAGTAGTAGTAGTAGTAGTAGTGGTGGTAGTAGCAGCATCGGTAGTAGTAGTAGTAGTAGTAGTAGTAGTAGTAGTAGTAGTAGTAGTAGTAGTAGTAGTAGTAGCAGTAGTAGTAGTATAGAATGGGTGTTAATTGGTGATTAAATTTCCATAAGAATCGACCGCTAGTTTATCGTTATCATTATCAGCACCAGCAGATTTTTTGACGTCATCATCGTCGTCATTATCTTCGCCATCACGTGACTCTAGCGTATATTCATTGTTGTTTTTACTGTTGTTGTCATTGGTGTTGGTGTCATCGTCATCGTCACTACAACATCTGTCATGATGACGATGATGATGATGATGGTGGTGGTGATGATGATGATGATGGTGGTGGTGATGATGATAATGATTAAGTTATAAATAATCACTTGTTTGGTTTTTTGACAGACTTCATGGGCAGGTAGTTGGCACTTTCATCATAGCCGACATCCGTATCCAGGTAAATCTGCAAACAAATTGAAAGAATTAAACTCACCTCTTCATTCGTTCCATCATTCGTTTTATTTTTCTTTCTATCTATTCTATCTGTTCATTCATTCATTCGTTCGTTCGTTCATTCATTCATTCATTCATTCATTTTTAAGTCATTCATTCACTCATTCATTCATTCGTTCACTCATCCATCCATCCATCTATCCGCACATCTCCTGATGATGATTGCAAAATACTGGATAATGATTTTTCAAGGTCACGAAAGGTCGGTCGGTCATCTGGGCTCTCCCTCCAGCACGAGAGCATCACTTCGTATCTAAAAATAGAATTGTTACTATAAATAGTATATTCGGCTATAAATAGATTTGTGACGTATGTATCTATTAATAGAAATGCCACCAAGAGCGGGGATGTACCCAAACTAGATATGAGCATGGGAACGGGAATGGGAAGCGGGAGAGTATGGGGGAAAAAACGCGGGAAAGAGTTAAAAAGGTGGGAGGAAATTAGGATCACATTTCAATTCCCGCTCGTCTCTTACCTAAACATAGAAATTGAAATATGAAATAGAAGTGTTAAACTATAAGTTAGGCTTGTGATGTGAAATCTAAAAATTGAAATCGTAACTATAATTAGAAGTTCAAACTATAATCATCATCATAACCTTCAACCTTGTTTTCATTCATCCTCATCATTATCATCATCATCGTTGTCATCATCATCAACATCGTTGTCATCATTATCATCATCGTCGTCGTCATCATCATCATCACTAACGTTTGAGAGTCACAGACTTCCGGTTTACTTAATCTCAATCCAGCTTTCAACCTCTTAACGAATACTTCATTCATGTCGATTCCCGCGTACGGATTTCCGCCTTGTTGCCGGAAACGGAAATGGGATATCAGAAAGTTATAAATAGATTTTATTATTGCTATTGTTATTATTATTATTATTATTATTGTTTTTGTTGTTGTTGTTTTGTTATCATTATTATTGTAAATTTCATATGGTCAGTTTTTTAGCAATACTATAGAAATTAAATTAGTTGGTCTGATTGTTCATTCATTCATTTATTTATTCATTCATTTTTTCATTTTTTAATTAATTAATTAATTCATTCATTCATTCATTCCTTCACTCACTCACTCCGCTAACCGAATGAAAAGATCTCCCACATTAAAACTCCAAACGACCACCTAGATATTAAACGAAGAAGGTGAGAATGAATCATCATCATCATCGTCATCATCCTCATGATCACCATCGTCGTCGTCATCATCATCATCACCATCATCAGCAACATCATCCACATCATCATCATCATCACCATTATCGTCATTATCGTCATCATCATCATCATCACCATCATCGTCATCATCATCATCATCACCATCATCGTCATCATCATCATCATCATCTTACTGACACGTCACTCTGAGATGTATAGAGTTTGTGCGTCAGTGCCTCAATAGCCATCCACTTGATCGGGACTGGGGCCTAATAATAACAGAAATAATAACAGAAATAATAATAAATAATAATAAATAATAATAATAATAATAAATAATCATAAATAATAATAATAAAAATAATAAATATATAAATAATAATAACAATAATAACAACAATAATAATAATAGTAATAAAAATAAATCACAATAATAATAAAAATAATAATAATAATAAATAATAATAATAATAAATAATAATAAT